CAGTTGCTTTGTTGTTAACAAGATCCAGAAGGGACGTCAACATTGGATGGATTGGATTGGATTCGATTTCTAGCAGGATTCTAGCAGGATAGCAGGATAAGGGATAGCAGGATTAGAGAGGATTTCTAGTAGGATTTCAGAAGGGACGTTCCGGCCTCCAGGGAACTTGTTCTTGCGATTGATTTTGCGTCATTTTCGGCACGAAATTAGGTGGTGTTTTGCCGTTTCGGCTGTGTTTCGAAAAAGGAGGAGCCCTCTCCCTGTAGTGCAGCTTACCACTGGAGAGCTGAACACAAAGTTGGACCACAAAGTATGAGAGCAGCCAAGCGGTTGTACTCGCCGTTGGAGGAACTGAAAGAGGCCTGAGACTGAGCCGTAACGGACCCAGCCCCAGACACCAACTGATAGCCCTGTGAAGAGCTGGAGGCGGCCTCAACCTTGAGGGTCAGCCTGGTGATCTGTTCCGCAAGGGCAGCCACTTGCTCAGAGAGATGATCAATTTTCAAGGATAAATCCAGCACAAGCTGATCACTCATCCAAATACCCCCTCAGCCGATTCAATGCCCTCCGGCCGACAGGATGATGATGGGCAGCAGGGAAATGGAAAGCCAGGCAATATATGATGTAGGCGGTGGAGAGAGAGGCAAGGATACCCCCAATCAAAAGTCCAAGGAGGAAGGAGAGCCCCAAAGAGGAGAATGTGCTGGGAGAGCAGTGAGCTGGACAGGCAAGCCCAAACCAGTTTGACGACACACCCAACCTGAGAAGTTCGACAGCCTCCCAAACCCGAGCAGCGGGGAAAACCATCAAGCTCTTGAGATTTGAAAAAGGCATCCGAATCGTTCTTATATTGTCAATCTTATCAATAATTGATGGTTTTCAAACATGATTTTTATTGCTAACTTATTGGTTATATAACCATCTATTACTGGTTATTGAATGTATGTTTATTCTGGTTTTCACTAGCTTTCGCTGGGTGAATTCCCCATCACCAAACAGCACCGGAAAAAATCGAAGCGCCGCGGCCCAGGTGCTCCCTTCGTCGTAGCCTTTGCCACCGCCGAATCCTGTGATGCCTTTGCCGCCCCAAGAACCTCGACTTGGCGATAGGCCAACCATGTTAGGGGGACTCAAATGAGGTTTACCCCTGACCATCTCGGCGGAAGCCAAGAAAAGTGGCTTAGTCTCAGAAGTGAAAATGGTGACTTGACCAAAAAATGATGGATGACCTGGAAGTTGGATGCTCTGAACCAACTGAAATGGATACGTTACACACAAAAATGAGGGAATTAGACCGCCAAAGGTGGGGACCAAACCAATAAACATGGGGGTCAAAGCCTGGTAGTGGCCTGAACAAAACAAAAACAAAGATTCAACAACAGCAGCAACAGCAAAAAAGGGGATCTAAGCAATACCCTCTGGTAAACGTTTACAGAAAACTATGGAACACCCATTTTTTATGGATAAATCAACTATAAATGACCATGTTCAATAGCTATTTTGACCTAACCAGAGGGTAATTAAGGAGATTGTCATCGGGTCGTTTCATCTGTAGTCATGGGTCCCTATACGATGGGACGGGAACTCACGATCGTCGCTTCTATCCTTCAACCATCTGCCTGAGGGCATCCTCCAGCAACATAGATCGATGCAGGATCTGCAGGACAATGGTTTCCATCAATGGAGGTTTCCAAAGCCATGGGGATACCCCCCAGTTCTCATTGATCATTAAAATATCATTAATGGATGGTATTTTATGACCATATTCATATTCCGATCATTTATATATGCTATATAAAAATGCTTCTCATCCATTTGATCTTGGGATTTTCCATTACCCTCTGGTAAACTGTCACATAACTATGGAAAAGCACCATGTTTTATGGGAAAATCAACTATTTCTATGGCCATTTTCAATAGCTTTTTGTATGTTTACCAGAGGGTATATCCCATTAAATCCCATTAAATCCCATTAAAATTCCATTAAATCCCATTAAACCACCATTTTCCTAAAATAAACCATCCATAAATGGATATAAATGGGAGTTCCCCTTTGGAGGATCAGTGTATTTTAGAGGTAGCTCCTAAATCATCCAACTAAATCTGGCGATAAATATGGCTATAAATATGGCAGGTTACCCTCTGGTAAACGAACATAGCTATTGAAAATGGCCATAGAAATAGTGGAGGTTAAATATGGCTATAAATGTGGCTATAAATATTGCTAAATATGGCTATAAATATGGCAGGTTAACCATAGTCCTATCCATGTTCATGGGGTTTTAGCAAATAAACCATCCATTTTGATAATTTTGATGGGATCCTCCTACTTATGGAAACCTCCAAATGGCTCGAAAAAACTATGCTTAACTAACCACTTACGATTCCTAGGGATGATCCTCGGACTTGATTCACAATCCAGAAGTATCATCACCATATCATAATACTAATAAATATATATATATCTATACATTACATTAAATTACTATAATAATTCATCACTATTACTTCACCAATTATTATATATATATACATATATATATTATTACATCACCATTGATTTAAATTCTAATTCCTAATATATATATATATATTACATGCTAATTAGTATATAAATTCAACACAACGTAAGCGTTTTTTTCATACTGGGATATCACCCACCGGGATCGCGTGAAATCGCAAAGGCGCTGCTGTCATAGCCGCTGTCATAGCCCTTGCCGCATCCTCCGCAGCCCTTGCCACCCCACATGCCTGGCGGTGCCCCCCGTGCCCCCGTTTAGGAGAGCGAATGTTGCTGGAAATAGCTAGGTGAACTGATGGCCTTATATAACTAGGGTTTATGGTGCTTACAACTTACAACTATAGTTACTAAGGTTCCATACCAGCTAGAAACTGGTGGACATAGCATGAAACGGCCAGGTTAACTGGTGGGTTTATGATGGTTCACGGTAAATATCTCGAATTGGATGCGGTTTATAAACCAGACATGCCACTTACGCTGGAGGGACACCGTCTTGTGGATGTCTCATGAAAAATATGTGTCCACCAGTTGGATGAAGCCCAGCAGATATGGATTCAGCCAAGCCAAACCGAACTCCAACTGGTTGTCGCCTGGACACTTATCGCCCATATTGAACAGGGCAGCACAGGGTATGAATCCAACATGAACAGAATGATTACAGGGTATGAATCGGACAAAATGATCATAGATGAGGATATCGTCACAACAAATAGGACTATACTCGCATTGACCAAGCTTGTAGGTACCAGCATCATCTTCTAACGCTTTGGTTGAAGATGTGTCAGTGGTATACCCTCTGTTGAACCTTTCACATAACTGTGGAAAATCACCATGCTATTAATGGGTAAATCCGAAATTTCTATGGCCATGTTCAATAGCAAACCGAAACAAATTACCAGAGGGTATCTTTCATACATCATAGTCATTTCCCATAAATCACCATAGTAAAACCATAGTCATTTCCCATAAATCACCATCGTAAAACCATATATTTCCCAGAAATCACCATAGTAAAACCATACATTTCCCAGAAATAGTCCCATTAAAACCTCCATTTTTGGTTCAATTCCCAGAGGCTAATTTTAGATGATGATCTCCATTACCATAAATCACCATAGTTTAATGTTTAATAGTTTCCATATATTTCCCATATATTTCCCATATATTTCCCATATATTTCCCAGAAATAGTCCCATTAAAACCTCCATTCCTTGTGAAATCCAAAACACCTCACAGTCAGAGCAACCTCTCCAGGAACCGCTCAGTAACCGAAGCGCCCAGAAACCCATCCAGAACCACCACAGGAATAGTGGAGATGTTCACCCAAAAAAACAGAACAACATTCATTGGATTAGCAGATATAGTATCCATAGTTAGTAGTTAATTAGTGAGAACTATGGTATTCATCATAGTTAGTGAATGGATTAGATATAGTATCCATATAGTATCCATTTTACTATTTAGTTATATTATGATGAATTACATGTAATTAAAAGTGAAGCGTCTATCATTGGATTGGTTTAAGGGAATTTTTTAACCGGAAACCTCCATATTTAGTGGTAAAAACCCATGGGTTTCCGGTTTCGATTTTCCCTTAAACCAATCCAATGAAACATTGGGGGTCCATGATTGATGGATTGATTATGATTGATGATTGGCTATGATTGATTATGATTGATGATGATTGATGATTGCTGATTGATGACCATGATGGATTGATTATAATAGTGAGTTTTTTTGTTTAGAGCCAAACAAGATGAAGCCCACGAACCCGAATGCTCACACGTATGTTAATGGCACAGATGTCAAAACACATGGATATGCAGTGACGCACAACACTTTTCTGCAATAGTTTATTTGAACAGTCTTGTTCATATTTCCCCTGTTACCAGTCTGCGGTGTGGAGTGGAAAGTGTAGAATGTGGAGTGTAAAGTGTGGAGTGTGGAGTGTAGCGTGTGGAGTGTCGAGTGTAGAGTGTGGAGTGAGGAGTGTAAAGTGCAAAGTGTGGAGTGTGAAGTGTAAAGTGAGGAGTGTGGAGTGTGGAGTGAGGAGTGTGGAGTTTGTAAATTGTAGAGTGTGGAGTGTAGAGTGTAAAGTGTAGAGTGTAAAGTGTAGAGTGTGGAGTGTGGAGTGTAAAGTGTAGAGTGTCGAGTGTGGAGTGAGGAGTGTAAAGCGTAAAGTGTGGAGTGCGGAGTGTAAAGTTTACAGTGTGGAGTTTGGAGTCTAAAGTGCGGAGTGGGGAGTGTGGAGTGTGGAGTGGAAAGTGTAGAGTGTGAAGTGTGGAGTGTAAAGTGTAGAGTGTGGAGTGTGGAGTGAGGACTGTTAAGTGTGGAGTGAGGAGTGTAAAGTGTAGAGTGTGGAGTGCGGGGAAAGTGTAGAATGTGAAGTGTGGAGTGTGGAGTGTAAAGTGAGGATTCCGTCCTTCAGGGCCATGGTGTTTGGCTGTGTTTTGCTGTTTCGGATGTTTCGAAAAGGGTGTCTGGCTGTTTGTTTCTTGCTTTGGAGGCTGTTTGATTGCAGCAGCACCACAGCAGCACCACAGCAGCACCACAGCAGCAGCAGCAGCAGCAGCAGCCACCAGCAGCTGCACCAGCAGCAGGCAGCAGCAGGGTGCAGCAGGCAGCAGCAGGCAGGCAGCCGCAGCCTTCAGTGGCATGGTGTTTCGGTGTGGCGAGGGGTAGGTTTTGGAGGCCTGCAGCAGCAGTTGCTTTGTTAAAACAGGTTCCCTTTTGGAAGTCGTTTCGGCTGTGTTTCGAAAAAGGAGGATAGCAGGATAAGAGAGGACTCTAGCACGATAGCAGGATAAGAGAAGATTTCTAGTAGGATTTCAGAAGGAACGTTCCGGCCTCCAGGGAACTTGTTCTTGTGATTGATTTGGAGGTCGTTTCGTCCTTCAGGGCCATAGTGTTTCGCTGTTTCGCAACCGCCCGCTAGGACTTCGTTGTGGAGCTGTTTTGAGGGTATGGGAGCTGGCAGCAGCAGTCAACATTGGATGGATTGGATTGGATTCGATTTCTAGCAGGATTCTAGCAGGATAGCAGATAAGGGATAGCAGGATTAGAGAGGAGTTCTAGTAGGATTTCAGAAGGGACGTTCCGGCCGGCAGGGAACTTGTTCTTGCGATTGATTTGGAAGTCGTTCCGTCCTTCAGGGCCATGGTGTTTCGGTGTGGCGAGGGGTACATTTTGGAAGCCTGCAGCAGCAGTTGCTTTGTTGTTAACAAGATCCAGAAGGGACGTGAACATTGGATAAGAGAGGATTCTAGCACAATAGCAGGATAAGAGAAGATTTCTAGTAGGATTTCAGAAGGGACGTTCCGGCCCCCAGGGAACTTGTTCTTGCGATTGATTTGGAGGTCGTTCCGTCCTTCAGGGCCATGGTGTTTCGGTGTGGCGAGGGGTACATTTTGGAAGCCTGCAGCAGCAGTTGCTTTGTTTTAACAAGATCCAGAAGGGACGTCAACATTGGATGGATTGGATTGGATTCGATTTCTAGCAGGATTCTAGCAGGATAGCAGGAGAAGGGATAGCAGGATTAGAGAGGATTTCCAGTAGGATTTCAGAAGGGACGTTCCGGCCTCCAGGGAACTTGTTCTTGCGATTGATTTGGAGGTCGTTCCGTCCTTCAGGGCCATGGTGTTTCGGTGTGGCGAGGGGTACATTTTGGAAGCCTGCAGCAGCAGTTGCTTTGTTGTTAACAAGATCCAGAAGGGACGTCAACATTGGATGGATTGGATTGGATTCGGTTTCTAGCAGGATTCTAGCAGGATTCTAGCAGGATAGCAGGATAAGGGATAGCAGGATTAGAGAGGATTTCTAGTACGATTTCAGAAGGGACGTTCCGGCCTCCAGGGAACTTGTTCTTGCGATTGATTTTGCGTCATTTTCGGGACGAAATTAGGTGGGCCGTTTCGGCTGTGTTTCGAAAAAGGAGGAGTGTTTCGAAAAAGGAGGAGTGTTTCGAAAAAGGAGGATAGCAGGATAAGAGAGGATTCTAGCACGATAGCAGGATAAGAGAAGATTTCTAGTAGGATTTCAGAAGGGACGTTCCGGCCCCCAGGGAACTTGTTCTTGCGATTGATTTGGAGGTCGTTCCGTCCTTCAGGGCCATGGTGTTTCGGTGTGGCGAGGGGTACATTTTGGAAGCCTGCAGCAGCAGTTGCTTTGTTTTTAACCAGATCCAGAAGGGACGTCAACATTGGATGGATTGGATTGGATTCGATTTCTAGAAGGATTCTAGCAGGATAGCAGGAGAAGGGATAGCAGGATTAGAGAGGATTTCTAGTACGATTTCAGAAGGGACGTTCCGGCCCCCAGGGAACTTGTTCTTGCGATTGATTTGGAGGTCGTTCCGTCCTTCAGGGCCATGGTGTTTCGGTGTGGCGAGGGGTACGTTTTGGAAGCCTGCAGCAGCAGTTGCTTTGTTTTTAACCAGATCCAGAAGGGACGTCAACATTGGATGGATTGGATTGGATTCGATTTCTAGAAGGATTCTAGCAGGATAGCAGGAGAAGGGATAGCAGGATTAGAGAGGATTTCTAGTACGATTTCAGAAGGGACGTTCCGGCCTCCAGGGAACTTGTTCTTGCGATTGATTTGGAGGTCGTTCCGTCCTTCAGGGCCATGGTGTTTCGGTGTGGCGAGGGGTACATTTTGGAAGCCTGCAGCAGCAGTTGCTTTGTTTTTAACAAGATCCAGAAGGGACGTCAACATTGGATGGATTGGATTGGATTCGATTTCTAGCAGGATTCTAGCAGGATAGCAGGATAAGGGATAGCAGGATTAGAGAGGATTTCTAGTACGATTTCAGAAGGGACGTTCCGGCCTCCAGGGAACTTGTTCTTGCGATTGATTTTGCGTCATTTTCGGCACAAAATTAGGTGGTGTTTTGCCGTTTCGGCTGTGTTTCGAAAAAGGAGGATAGCAGGATAAGAGAGGATTCTAGCACGATAGCAGGATAAGAGAAGAGAAGATTTCTAGTAGGATTTCAGAAGGGACGTTCCGGCCCCCAGGGAACTTGTTCTTGCGATTGATTTGGAGATCGTTCCGTCCTTCAGGGCCATGGTGTTTCAGTGTGGCGAGGGGTGCATTTTGGAAGCCTGCAGCAGCAGTTGCTTTGTTGTTAACAAGATCCAGAAGGGACGTCAACATTGGATGGATTGGATTGGATTCGATTTCTAGCAGGATTCTAGCAGGATAGCAGGAGAAGGGATAGCAGGATTAGAGAGGA